TTTGGGATGATTTTCTTTGTCCAAGTTCAACACAAATATTTCAAATTCAGCCCCCAGCTCCGCATGGTACTCACGTGAGGACATATGGAAATTTTGGCGAAAAAATTTCTAACTCGGGATTCAGGGAACCTAGAGAGCTGAGATTTTGGGGGAATGTCCCCTGTCTAAGTACAATTTAAATATTTCAAATTCAGACTTCAGATATGCGTGTCTCTCACATATGAGCACGTGGAATGTTTGACGGGAAAATTGCTAACTCGGCACCCAGAAAAGCTGGAAGGCTGAAATTTTAGGGGAATGTTCCCTGTCCAAGTGCAAATTAAATATTTCAGATCCAGCCTTCAGATATAATTGGTTCTGACGCACACATAAAGGTTTTGGCGGGAAAACTGCTCACTGAACAGCTAGGTTACTTTCAAAGAACAACCGCTAAATGGAATTGTACATTTAATTTGTGCAAAATTTATGGTGATTTACGCTAGTGAGCGCAAAAGGTGGGTGTAAAGCAGCAGCTATTCACGCATTTAATGACTGGGGTACTTCAAGTCCGGTGCAAAAACGCAAGATCGCACTGGCAAGTCTCGTTCGCTCCAGTCCAGGTTCACGAGATGATTTATGAGCCTTTACCATGCATTTATGAGCCTTTACTCCGACGCCGTGTATGGTTACGCTTACAACACACGCACAGATGATCTCTTCACAGTATCATTTTCTGGACTTCAAAATATCTAATCATTAGCGAGCGCACCGACTGCCAGTGCGAAGATGTGTTTTTTGCACAGTTCTCCCGCGGGTTTTTGTTGCTGACGGCACTGTTTTTCTGGGAAATGCTCCTGACTAAAAGAATCGAGACTAGCCACCATGAATGTCCGAAATTACTACTGTGCCTCCCAATCACTGCTTAAACTAGGTGCTCTGACTGTGGCGTCATATTTCGCGTGTTCGCATGTGAGGAGAAAAAATGAATACTGTTTTCGCGTGCGCTTGTTAAAACACGGTCCTGGGTTATTCTCAGAAAATTTCAACGCTCTAGGTGGTTTAGTTGCGGAGGCACGCCAAATTTCACGTGTGTGCACGTGAGACATGAAAGGGGAATGAAAGCCGTTTTTACGTCCACCTGGTCAAAGACCGCTGTTGGTTGTGCTCAGAAAGTTAAAGTCCTGTAGTTGCTTCAGTTCCGAAGTTACAAAAATGCCCGTATGAATTTTTCATTTGTGTGTATGTGAAATGCAAAGGGGCTAGAAACCTCAATTTACTTTCTCGGGCGCATATAAGCAATGCTGCAAAATTAGAGTTCTCCACAACTTTTTCATCAGCTTAAATCTAGGTTGGCACGGTACCAGTTTAAACTTTGACGCGTGCGTACTTGAGACCTAAGAGTACGTAAAGGCC